TGGCTGGAGATGGATCTAAAAGATGATGATCCTCAGAAGATGAGGTGTGCTGGATCTGGCTGGAGATGGATCCAGAAGATGATGATCCTCAGAAGGTGAGGTGTGTTGGATCTGGCTGGAGATGGATCCAGAAGATGATGATCCTCAAAAGGTGAGGTGTGCTGGATCTGGTGAAAATATTGGAGAAAATGGCAAATGCTCACGCCTGGGATCAAACCCAAGACATGAGCTTTTGACTTCCTTCCTCTGACCAACTGCACTGGATGTTAACTCATACATATAATCAAATAAAAATAATATATATCAAACAAGCCATTAGATCCAAGTCAACAAGACATAAACGCGTCAGCATTTCCAGAACCAATCACATTATAAAGAAACGCCACGCCTGCAGTCAGAATGTCTTCGCCAGAGGGAGACGAGTAAACAACGCCGGAGCTGCGCTTCAGTCGTCTTCTCCAGGAGGATGAAAACCCCAAAACATGCAAAAATGTGGAATTTAAAGGGCGTAAAAGACCCTAACCCCTCTGAAATTTTCCCAAGAATCCAAATATGGACTTAGCTTTTCCTGAAAGTGCTTGTATCATCTTATTCGTTCCATGACTATTTCAAAACCCTAACAATGGCAACCTCTTAAATCTGCATCCATACTCTCATGCTTCACGTTAGAATGGATCAAAACAATGATATGAGCATGAATATATAATAAAAGATAATTTATATTGTGTTTTTGCAAAGTTTTGGATCTCAACCTTACTATAAACCGAATATGCTTGGCCTGAGTGTTTGAGAGGGTTGCAAGCCTAGAGATTGACAGGGATGGATTCCTGGCACCTTCAGGAGTATGATAGAAGGCTTAGGTTGGATTGAAAGAGGATAGAACCTGTTCTTTGGATTTTCACGATTTTAGGTGATTTTTGCAATTTTGGCTCGAGTGCTTAGGGTTGTTTATTTGTCCCATTGTGCTTCTGAGTGGGCATACATATATAGTGAATCAAATTTAGGTTAACAAAGTTGGAAGAAATCTTTGCTTTCAATGAAAAAACAATGGCTTTCAATAACATGATTTCTTGCACATTTGGACCAAATCAAATCTTGCTCTCTCCATGAATTTTCCTTGCCATGCCAGCATATCTTGCTCCTTACTTTGATGAGAAAAAGATTTGAAATCAATATCTTACATTATTCCTTTTATTCATTTTATTTAATTTTGCATTTTATTGGATAAAATATAAAAAATAAATAGTGTAAATAATAAAGTAATGTAAGAATAGATTCAAAGGTCGTGGGCCATGTTGGAAGTGGGATGCAAGCACAAAAAGTTAGGCCCATTTGGCAAAAAATGCAATTTTGAGCCCATTTGACTTTTGGCAATGTTGCAAAAAAAGGTCAACTTTGACAAGGCATATCTCCTCCAATTTTAACCCTAGAGAGGTGTTCTTGGACTTTTAGAAAGCTTAGGATGTCCCTTAAGCAACCCATTTGGTCTCATCTCAATTGAGTCTTCCATGTTCATGTATGAAGCTTTGAACCAAAAGGTGTTTTTGTTGACTTTTCAAAATGACCTATAAGGTCAAAATTCATATCTTCTTGTGAGTGGATGTTTTGAACTTGTGAGATGAATATGAGTTGTAGGGAATTGTATCCTATTCAAAATGAGCTTTGGATGGAAAATTTCCGATAAAGCATGTGGAAGTTATGCTTGGTCAAAGTTGGGTTGACTTTTCTTGCGAAACCCTAATTTAGCAACTTTTGGGTTTTGATGAATTTGGAGCATTCTTTAAGGAATCATGATCAACCCTTGATCAAATGATGGATAACACTTCAAAATGATGATGTTGACCAAAAATCTTGAAGTTTGACTGTATGTGGACCACAATTGACTTTAGACCTAATATAGTCGATTCTCAAGCATCTGAGCAGTTGACTGAGCAAACCTCTTGTGAAATGCATGAAACTTGACACGGATGATCTTGGGAACATATTAAGACCATGGAGAGAAAGGAGACCTTTGTGGTCCTCTCATCTTGATGAAAATATAAACCCTAACTTGGGGTATACTGTCTTAGGAGAGAGTTTGTATGGTCAACTCTTTGACTTCCTTGAGCAACTTGGGGACTTCAATTGACATGTATTGAGTAAAATGAGAGGGGAAATTTTGGGGTACAACAAACTCAAATTCTATTCAAGTTTCAACCTATTCCACATTTCTTCATGGTTTCAACAACAAACAATTTCTCAAAATTCAAATTCAATCAAAATTTATCTCTCAAGCATTTAAACAAACACTTAAACTACAAGAAAATATTAATTAAACCTCAAGATTTCAATTCAAATCCAATTCACATCAATTTAACAACATAAACAATGCTATTCAACTCAAGAATTCAAGCAAAAGTATGGAAGATTATCGAGTCGAAGCAAGATGATGATGATGTCCAAAAATCACAAAGAGGATGAAGTGGGCCATGAGAAATTGTGCGATCAAAGATAAAGGGAGAATAACTTCCGCGATTTCGGGGAAGAAGGAGGGGGGTAGCACCAACAACTCGCAGTGGTGAAAGGGAAGAGCAAGCGACACATGGAGGCGAACTGCAGGAGAGCGAGCGATAGCGGAGGGAGTATGACCGGTTCGTCAGAAAACCGTGAGGGAACAAAACCTTGAAGCTTCTTGAATTTTATGATATCTTATTGAAGACAAGTTTGAAGAAATTTTGAGAGAAAATGTTTAGATCCTTGAGACAATAGAGAGAAAAATGTGAGAGCTTTTTGGGAGTGAGTGAGTTATGAGAGAAAAATATGATTTTGAACTTATATATTCCCTCTAATTAGGCCTTGGATTTGAATTTGGGTTAGGACTTGTTTTAACGGTGTTAGCAAATTTGACACAATGTAAGTACAAAATTCCACGTCATCATTAGTGTGACATTTCGAGTCGAGCTCAACATAAAAAATGAAGATGAAAAAATTTGTGACATGATTCCGAAAGAACAGACACAATGGGATAAACGACGAGAAAGTTATGGATTTTAGAAGGACCACAGACGCGGAGCAGAGTTAGCTAATGCATATTTTTCTCAATAAGTTTCACTGTTCAGTTCTGAAAGAATGCCACGAATGAAAATCCTCTAATAAAAATCAGAACTCGGGGTCTGAAGAAAATTTATAGATGACATCATGTGTGAAATTATGCCGAAAGAATCATCTCGATAAAATAAAAATCTAAGAAGTTATGAATTTCTGAACACCGAGAAAATAAACCAATGTCAATCTATTTCTACTGTAAAAATATCTGGTAAATCTCACTTTTGGAGACCTTCTGAACAGATTTGGCTCCCGGCCCGAACATACAAAATGTAGGAGATATCAAGGTAAAATTTATGCCCAAAGAACGGATCCAAAATTTTGAACCAGACGAAAGTTATGAATTTTTAAATGTCTGGAAAACAACGGTTCAACACACTTTTTCACTGTATTTTCCACTGTACATCTTCAACGTATTCGAATATTCTTAGATCTTCTTTAAGGAAATAGATCTCGGCCCAAACACGAGAATTTGATAAAATATTGAGACTAATTTTATGGCAAAAGAAAAAATAAAATATGTTGAGCCAATCAAAAGATACAGATTTTCGAACATCTGAAACACAGCGGACCAGAAAACCAAAACTATGGTTATTAAAATATTTGGAGGTCTTCCACACGAAATTGGCTTTCGGTCTGAACAGATGAAATGTAGAAAATACCAATACAGACCTGTAACACGGTGGGAGAATAGACTTGGGTGTTTTGCGTTTGATCGCGACTGTTGCAGATAGTAAGAGTCGCCACTGACTTTTCTTTATCCAATAAGGAAAGGTTGAAAAGAATAGGAAAGACCTTTCGAGATTATTTCTTGAGTTCGGGGGGTAGGTTATGAAAAGGGAAGGTGTTAGCACCCTTTTCATCTGTAGTTATCTACAGGCTCTTATTTCCTTTCTAGATCACTTGCTTTTTGTTTGGAAATGTGCTTGTGGTGTGGGTTTTGAAAGTATTTTGAAGCGTCTTTATAATAGTTCTCGTCTCTATAAGAACGCGTACAAAGTGTTGTTTTGAAAATAGTTCAAAGAAGTGTTTGTGGAATGTGTTTTTCAAAGTGATTTTGAAAAGGTGTCCTTGTAATGGCTCTCATTTCTATAAGAACGCGTACAAAAAGCTTTGTCTTTTTAAAATGATTCAAAATGAAAGTGTTGGTGTATAAAATGTTTTTGTTGTGAGCAAGCGAGCAACTCACTACAAGAAAATTGGCAGATTGCGACAGGTATTTTTGTAGATTACGACGGTTAAAACCGTCGCAATTTGCTTTCCACGACGGTTGCTTTACCGTCGCAGAAGTGTGTGTCCCCAACCTATTTCGCGACGGTTACAAAAACTGTCGTTCAAGTTTACGACGGGTTGATACCGTCGTGACTATCTTTTGAGTTTCTTTTAATTATTGATGGCGACGGTTCGATACTGTCGTGAATATCTTTTGAAATTGATTAAATTGTTTATGGCGACGGTTCGATACCGTCATGACTTTTGTTGATTACGACGGTTCGGTACTGTCGCCATGACTTTTGTTTATGTCTTGATTTTTTTTATTTTTCTATTATATATATTTTTTATTTAAATTATTATCTATGTAAAAAATTTTAAATATAGTTTTTTTTGTGTTATTTTTTTCTTTAAATTATTTCTTCTTTAATATATTTATTTATAGTATTATTTTTTGTTTTATTTTCTATCACTTTGTAATATAGTAAAAATAATTTCAATAAAAAATATTTAACATCAAATAAGCATTATAATATCCAAAAAAATGTGTGTTCCATAATCATGTAAAATGCGAGTTCCATAATCATGTCAAGTAGTACAAAAAACCCAAAATATATCAATTCCTAATCTTATAATAATAAGTATCATTATGCCAAAAATACATGAGAAAGTTCACAATCTAATTATCTCGATCATAGCAAAGTCTAATTTGTCCCCCCTGAAGTTCCATTATCTCCAATACGATAGCTAGACTCAGATGAACGTCTACCATCAGCGGGTGATTCCAATCCCTAAAAAAAGGTATTAAAATAATAATCTTTAAAATAATACTCATAAAATTTAACTTTAAATGCGTCAAATTAATATACCTGTCTTCCATTGGAATAGAGTTAGCAGTACCTCATGTAAAGGAAGGTTCAACCCAAGTTCAAACGAAGTTGATCGCAAATTGGCAAATCGTCGTAAATCCCTTTCGACTATACATGGAAGGATATATCCATCTATTTCATGAACCAACAATCAACATTTCAAACAACTTCCAAATTTTCATCCAAGAGGTAGCATATACCAATTCTTGACTAAGACTAATGACATGACTCGGAGCACAAATTCTTGAGTTACAAGAATAAGCATTTGAAATTAGATAAAGTACCTGTTCTCTCCGAAGGCCATTCGAAGTATACAGCGCATATATGATGGAGCTTAGTACGTTGAAATGGATACTGAGAATGAGCCCTACAGAAATTTTTGCAAATTCTTATTTTAAGTGCGTATCTAATTAGTAACCAGATTCAGAACTATAGCAGATAAACTTTACCATTAACATATAGCTTTCGTAGGTTCTGATTAGTATATTCTAAATTCCAATCAATATTGAGTATAGTAAAGGAACTGGAAGCAATGAATTAAATAACATACTTGAGCACAAAGTCTGAATCAGCTGAGTGGCATTTTGGCTTCAAATAAGCATCAATCACTTGTAAAATGGTATCGTCCTTTCCTATATTATTTTTAGCTCCTGCATAAACAAAAAAGATAGAAAAAATGATTAAAAAAAGTTGCAAAATGGAACTAAAATGCAATATAGATATGACAAGGGTATATATACCTTTTCTTTTTTTCACCCATCCAAGTCCTTCAGAAGCAAATTTTTTTAGAACATCTTTCTCCCCAATTGATTTTACTATCTGACAAGCTAACTCCTACAATACAACCATGGAAACAATCATGCAAAAGCACAAGCAACCATATAATATGTAAATATTCAACCCTGCTAAACAACAAGAGGTGAAAAGGCAAAAAGTAATATGATCATGAAGGATGTGTTTAAGGACTTACCGGACCTAAACCATGAACTCCTTGATGATAGTCACTGCCGAGAAGCAAAGAGAGAGCAATCTGAAGATCATGGGTTACTCGGTTACTGATTTTCACCAGAACAAGAACTCAATACCCTTGAATTTTGAATTGACAAGAAACAACGAAAGATCGTCTAAGAAAGCATTGTGACTCTTATGTTAAAACATCAATCAGAAATTTACCAATGAATCCCGTCCCAATCCAAGTTTATTTTCAATCTCTGCCATCTCATAACATACAACATATCCACCATCTCCTAACTCATTAATAAAAAAAAATTCTTGTAAGTCATATGAAAGTACAAAAAAATCCTTAGAACTTATACGAAAAATACAATTAACACAAAAATATATTCAATAATAATATTTAAAAACGAAACCAAATGATATACTCACCAAGGCAGATTTCCCTGTATAAATCCTTACAACCATGATGGCCCAAAATATTTATTGCCCTCTCTAGTGGCAGACACCCCATAGGAATCAACCCTGTCATAGAAATTTTCCTTGCTCCAAGGTCATAAATTTCCCTTAGAAAATTTTCAGCAAGTCCAATTAAAAAATCCTCATATTCTTGAACACTAAATTGCAACCTCCTTTCAAGACGTTGGTAATAATTTTCAAGAAAATCATTTGTTCCTATGCTAATCAAATATAAAGACTCGTTTATTATTTCATTAGCTTTCTTGTTTCCAAATTTTGCTCTTAATCTGTTTTGATATTCTTTGTAATACTCAACTTCTTTCCATAAAGGTATCACATCCTGAAAAATACGTATACCATAAAAGTAAGCTTAGTATGAATTAGAAAAAAAGTTAATAGTATGATGCATGAAAATATGATTGAATGTTGAATGTAATAAATTGATTAGTTGAGAACTTACGGCAACACTTGCAGTAATGTTATCAAATCCAGTACCAGCAGAGGCAAAACAAACACCAGTAGCAAAATCAGTAATGTCATAAGAATGATCCAAATAAGCAGGAACAATTGGCTTAAGTCCAAACGCCTCGGAGATGAAATCAGGAGCTAATCTACCATTTGAGAATCTACCAGTTGGATTTCCATTAGGAAAATCTCTACCATAAGGTTCAAAGTTGCTTCTTGCTATTGTTGGAATGAAATTGTTGTTACCAGAATCAACAGATGAGTCTCCAAAAACTATTAGAGCTGGAACTTTTCCACTGCTTGAGGATGAAACATGCAGCAAAATTTGAATGGAAAAGAACCATATGAGGTGGATTTTCATCATTTTTCACCTGGTCTCAACAATTTGAGGTGTCTGTGATGCTAGTGAGGGGATAAAGAGGTTGTTTGTAAGAGACTCAGGATAAGAGCCTATTTATGGGACAATTTAGTAACGGTTTAAAGCAAAACACCATCAAACTGTAACTTCTATTAAATATTACCCATTCAAACAAGAGACGCCGAGAGCCATCCCCAAGGCTTTAGCCTCTTTAATCATACATGAAAACTCAGACCCCAAATTTCAATTCCAACCTCTTCCTTTATTATTCTTTCCTTGTGTGTCCCTTCATCTTCTTCTTCTAATCATATCATCATGGACAGAAACAATTGTCGCAGACAAGTTGCTGCAATGAAACAGTCACTGTTTGATCAGGTATATATATAGAATGTTATTAGACTCTTGTAGTCTTGATTAATATTGATGGCTAGCTAGTTAGTTACCTAAGTAATAATGAAATATGCAGGGGCTTCTTGATGAACAATTTATCCAACTTGAAGAATTGCAAGATGATGCTAATCCTAATTTTGTTGAGGAAATTGTCACTCTCTACTACCGCGATTCATCTAGGCTTATCTCTAACTTGGAATTCCTGTTGTATTAGGTGCTAATTCAAAGTTTGTGAATACATATGAAGCTGATTGTGTAGTTAGTGCCACTAGAGGTAACATTATAACTATCACTGCTCCACCAATAACCTGTCACAGTAAAAATGATTATGAGTAAATTGTGATGTACATTTTAGAGTCAAGATACAACGCATTCACTTTAATCAGTAAGTTGGAATAGTTAGATAAAGAAGCAAAAGTACCTGCCACCATATTGAAATTATATCGATGAAGGCGATAACTTCTAACGCAAATGTGTTCAATGCTGCCCAAATAACAGTGAGGCCAATGTACATACATAAGAATAGCCATTTCGGGGAAAAGTACCCTCCGCCTTTATTCGTGCCTGTCGAGAGTAGGATTATACTCTGCAATGTTTGTGATCCTGCATACGCCTTTCCGAATTCCAACCATGAAAAGTATGAGTTACGATGCACACATTCTATGAAAACACCGAGTCGAAGTTTAACCGAATTAGTCCTTTTACCTGAGTCCCTATCCCAGCAATAAGACCTATGGTTTCAAGCCAAGCACAACACCATGAAGAAAATGGTCCCCATTTTGGACCGGCTAAATGTGCAGCCCAAAAGTACAGAGAACCCTTTCTCTTCATCTTCATTCTAAGCACATCACATTCCATTCTAAGCATAGCAGGATCAATAGACCATTCTTGTCATGTTCAGAGGCTACTCACAACATATACTATGCAAACAGAATATAGATTCATTACATTTCCAGTATAATGGTCAAAATGAAAAGAATACACCATTCAAGCAAACCATACAACAGCATGAGCAACATCATCCAACCTTGTCATTCAAAACCAAATGCAAACACCACATAATACCAAGTGCAAAAGATATATGTTTTGCTAATAATAACGATAATAATATCCAATGAAACATATAATATAGATAGCTATCGATTCCACCCTAGAATTCCTGAACTAATGAAAACACAGTGTATAAATCTTGCTAAGAACTAAAACATGTCAATGAAAGCTGACATGTGGGAGAGATCCTTGTACAGATGGTTAAATCTTCTAACACTTTGGTCTTCTGCGCTTGATTTAAGTATCTTTCAACATAGATAGTGATATCCTCTAAAAATCTCGCATTCTTCAAAATATATGTTGCAAATTGAAAATCATCATCTCCCGCAACTCCATAGATTTCCATACGACATTTTTTTAGTTGAGACGAAATACACCGAGGAACATTATATGGGTATTTCCAATCATTGTTGGTGGTTAATGTCTGTCAATCAAAGACGCAATAGAATTTGTAAATATACTTAAATACAAGAGAAAGTAAAAAACAAAAACAAGTAATTATCATATGAAGGAAAAAAAAACCATTGAAATGGAAAAATCTTGAAGGTTAGGACAATTCTGGAGTAGTCTCAATAGGTCACTCCAGTCAAGAATCCCTCCATTAAGTTCCAGTTGAATTAAGTTTTGAAAGGCCTTATCATATGATTTGATGCCTTGATAGGGAAGATCATCATACCCCACCTGTACACAGTAAAAAATATACAGTATTATAAAAACAACAAAATCAAACAACAGACACATTATTGATGATGAATCAAAACAGTTATCATACCCATAATAGAGTTAAAAACTTGGCATTATAAAGTGCTGTTAACGGAAGCTCATCCAAAGAGACATCAGCGCTGATCAAATTGGATAGTAATAAGGGTTCTTCAGACTCAGAGTATCCTTCCCAACATCCACCAACATCTGTAGTAACCAAATGCTCCAATTTCAAATTTAGATCAAGATGTCAAAACTTGGAAAGAATAAAAACCATTTCTCTTCTTAGTTCTTGCTTGTAACCATAGTGGTGGGAACTAGGGTTTTAAAAAGGTCTGCCACCTGCCACTGCAATTTCAATTGTGACAGCAAGGTTTTTGATATATGGACTGCAGTGTGCCTCAATTCATGACTATAACCGCAATGAAAAACCAAACTCAATAAATAAATAAATAAAAATTTGAAAAGTGAGGAAAAGATGATTACCGTGATAATCAACCAGCAGGATTAAGAGCCATCATCATGTTGTTTCCACCAGGAAGATAAGTAACATTAGGCGATTTCTCAAGCGTTCCAGCAACTTCCCTGGAAGCTTCAATCCTCCTAAGCTCAACCAACCCCATCCCAGCCGCAGCAGTAGCCTCGGAAATCAATATAGCAGCGTCACTCTCTCGTCGTATTCGAGACCGAGGTTTTGAACGATGACAGGGAGTTTCGCGGTGTCGGGACGAGAGAGGACTCGGAGAGTTAGGTTAACCATTTGAAGATCTTTGGTGCCGGATATTGATGAGAAAGTATGGGGGCGGGTTTTGATATCGAAGATGTAGGGTTTTTGAACCCATGGGATGAGGAAATGGGTTCCCTCGCCGATTGATTCGTCGAGGATGTCGCGGAAACAGAACTTGTTCAAGGAATTCCAATATACTGTTAAAGAAACATTCTAATCGATGTTTTATGAGCTTTTTAACTTTTTTACTGCGACGGGTGTTTTACCGTCGTGCCTATGAGAATTTTTAAAGGTTTTAGGTGCGACGGTTGTTTTACCGTCGTGAAATGAATTTTAGGACGGATAATTTTACCGTCGTGAAAGGTTTAAGGGTGCGACGGGTGCTTTACCGTCGTGATATGCCTTTTAGGACGGTTAATTTTACCGTCGTGACTAGTTGTTGGTGAAAAATCAATGTTAAAAGTGTTAAATGGGGGCCGGCGGTTGTTTTACCGTCGTAATAATAATATTATGATGGTTAAATATACCGTCGCAAAATAAATATTAGGGACGGTTGGTGTCAACTGTCGTAAACACTGTCTCTATATGTCAATTACGACAGTTATCACATAACTGTCGCAATTTTTGTGTCGTTAAACACTAATTTTCTTGTAGTGACTAGGAGCATCCTACCTACTCAAAAGGTGTTAACGTTCTTTCCCTCCTCCTCTAGATGTTGTTATTTTACCATTGATTTGGTAAGAAGCTCCATCATTGGATGTGAAGGGACGGGCGTGAGACGTTTGTATAGTCATAGAAGGCAACCTATGGGACGTCTTAGCAATGTCATTTAGGATCATTTACCGAAGGCAACATTAAGGGTCATCGAGGGACTACGATCTTTTATCGAGGGTCTTTGCTAAAACGCCCATATTCGAGGGACATGACTATTTTTCTGAAGCAACAAGTGAGATTACCCTAAGGGTTAATGTGTGTGAATAGTGTGTTTGATTGCATGCATTTTGTCTTTGAATTTTAGGTTATCTACTTGTTAGTTTTTATCTTGCCATACATCCTAATTACTAGCATTTATACAAAAGTAATAAAGATGAAAAAAAATAAATCTTACACTATTACAACTATATTGAATAGCATGAAAATGTAAAGGCAAAATAAAATAAAGGAAAGAAAAAGGGGTCTTTCGATTTGGACAGAAGCATCCTTCGATTTGCATTTCTTGGCTTCCTTTGATTTGGGCCTGGGGTCATTGAGGTCATTCCTTTTGATTTGGGCTTAGCCTGAGGCATGAGATGCAACCTTTGATTCTGCCTCTCTGCCTCCTTTGACTGGGGCCTAGAATCAGCATGGGCGTGCCTTTCAATTGGGCTTGGAATCAGTGTGGGCGTTCTTCTGGCTGCCTCTTTCTTTTGGACCTGGAAGTTAGTGTGGAAGCCTAAGGTTTCGTTTCATAATTCCTTCCCCATGTTTCTTTCATTTGAGACATTAAATAGCAACATGGCCTGAGGCCATGCTAGAATTGGTCTTATGGCCATGTTAATTCTTAAACCATATTTAATAACTCAAGAAACAAAAACAAAAGGATTAGCAATGAAAACAAATTAAAAGGGTGGAAAGTAAAAGAATAATAATGGTATGTACATGTTTGAAACGAAAAGAAATTTTATTCACATGAAGACGAGGTGTGTGAGCAGGACCTTTAGTTGCTGCCCTAGATACTCCTGGATTTGAAGGGAAGAAATGAAGGTGACGTTTCTAAGGCTAGATTCAAAGGAGAAGAACAAGTGTGATGTTTGTTGTACCCCAAAATTTTTCCTCCCATATTTCTCAAAACATTTCAAGAAAGATCCTCAAGTTGCTCAAGGAAGTCCAAGGGTTGACCAGACAAGCCCTCTCCTAAGACAGTCTACCTCAAATTAGGGTTTCATGTTGCATCAAGATATTTTAGTCCAAGGGATCCAAAATGCTCAAAATTGTCCTAATATGTTCTCAAGATCATCCATGTCAAGTTTCAAGCCCCACAGAGAAAGTTAGCTCAGTCAATTGCTCAAAGGCCTAAAAATCGACTATGCTAGGGCAAAAGTCAACTGTGACCCCCATACAGTCAAACTTCAAGATTTTTGGTAAACATCCTCATTTTGAAGTACATTTCATCATTTTATCAAGGGTTGATCATGATTCATCAAGGATTGCTCATAGTTCATCAAAAACCAAAAGTTGCTAAATTAGGGTTTTGTAGGAAAAGTCAACTCAAATTTGACCAAGCATAACTTTCTCATACTTTATGAGAAATGACCCATCCAATGCTCATTTTGAATAGGATGCCATGATATACAATCCATCTACATCTCCCAAGTTAAAAATATGCACTCACAAGAAATTATGAATTTGGACATTATAGGTCATTTTGAAAAGTCAACAAAAACACCTTTTTTTGTCAAAGCTTCATACATAAGCATGGAATATCAAATTGAGATGAGACCAAAAGGGTTGCTTATATTACATCTCAAGATTTCTAAAAAGTCCAAGAACACCGTCAAAGAGTCAAAATTGAGGAAGTTATGCATTGGTGAAGTTGACTTTTTTTTGCAAAATTGCCAAAAGTCAACTATGCCTAAAACTTCAATTTTTGCCAAATGGGCCCAATATTTTTCACTTGTTTTGAGTTGGAAACATAGTCCAGGAGCTCTAGCCTTTGTCACTTTTCAATATCTTATTTATATCATTTATTTTGATTTTTATTTGAATTAAATCATTTTAAATCAAAACAAATCATATAAAATCCAAAACATTGAAATTCAAAGATCTTGTGCTTGTTTCAGGTCTTAATGTCTAGCTAGCATCAAATCAAATTCGTGTAAAGGCATGGTGTGCAAAAAAAGATTGAATTAGGCCATATTTGGAAAGATATTCAAGGTGAATCAAATCAAGATCAAGGACATTGATGGAGGAAGATTGAGGCCAGGTTTTCAACCCTAATATATTACTCAATACATATAGAAGGAATGCAGACCAAAAGAGGCTAGAGAAGGAGGCGTATGAACCAGAACCAAAACTTGAAAAAACAAGAAAAAGTGCAAACACGAATTCCTAGTTACAGGCCAATTCAAGACCCTTGGACCATTCCAATCGCTTCCCGGGATCCCCAGAATGCAAAAGCAATCCAAAACAAGTGTTTCCAGGCCCTATATCGCGCTGTAAGTCCATCAAGACATCCATGTATTTTTGAATTCGGTTTGCATGATTTAGGCATTGATAGCATGAATTAATCATATATTATTGATCCATAGAACATTTGCAAGCTTTTTGTATTCTTTAATTGTGTTTTCATGGCTTGTATGAAGTTTCACCATTATTAGGGTTTACAAGCTCGCTTTGGGGTTTCTGAACCTAGGAAAAATTGGGCCATGAAAGAGGCACCATTGTACTCAGCAAATCCAGACGACTCCATTCATGGCCTTGGTAGTCATTTATATCACTTGTATTTGATTTTGAGAAGTTGCAGGCCTGTAGCGACGGAAGTTATCCATAGGTAAAGGTTTCCAAACCTTTTATCCACGGAGAGAGGAGGGAGACGAAGACGTGGCAAGCCATCACTCGTCCATTTGAATTTCTGCGCTAATATTTTAATTATTTCGCTTGTTTATTTTATATTAATTCTTGTTTATATTACATACAACAAAAACAAGTGGCGCAGTTGGTTACATGGTAGGTGCAAAACGCTTCAGGACCTGGGTTCGAATCCCAGGCCCCCCACTTTTCTAATATTATTTTCTTTCAGGCAATCTCATGCGTACGCAACACTAGGGACCACCATATATCCTCATCATCCAGCCATTGGACCTGGAAGCTAGATCTGAAGGCTAGCATATGAGAGACCACCATGGGGCCTAGCCAACACAACACACTGAATTCAACAAGTCAATAATGGATCAAGTCTTTTGGGCCCAAAATCTGATTTTTGCACCCCCTCAATTTACTCTCAGGCCCAATTTCTTCACCTTTTTTCTTTTTTATATTTTTATTTCATTTAATTCATTTATTTTTTTTTACTAACAAAATAACTATTTTCTTTTTATCAAAAAATCATAAAAATATTTTTTTGTCCAATTAAATTTAAGATATTTATTTTTTATACAAAAAACTAAATTAATTTAATTAGGTTATTAATTTTAGATAATTTTAATTCTTTTTTTGTAAATACTTAAAAATAATTAGAAAATTAGGGTTTTGTCCAAATTTAATTATATTTTATTTTTCTTAAAAACCAAAAACCAAAAAATAGGCCATGTAATTATTTTCATTAATTAATTTAATTAACTAATTAATTTTTGTATTTTTATTTTAAAACCTAAATTCTTTTCTTTAAAAAATATTAAAAACAACAAAAACATTTTCTTTTAATTAGGATAAAAGGGTCAAAACCCTATTTTTATTATCGTTCTAATTTCATTGCGCACGCTTTATTATTTTTATTATTTACCATATTGATATAACTGCCTACAAGTTGTAATAGTTAATTAGGTCTTTAATTTTACCGCTTTATTTTCAAAGGGTTTGTTTTTGGCTATGTAAATACCCGAAGCCTTGTAATAGCGTAGTTTAAATTCCGCACTTTTAAATTCTGCAAAATATTAAACTTTTAGATGTATGATATTAAGATGCATGACAAGAATGTATGTTAACTTTAAAATAGTTAGATAACCCTAAAATGTGCAAAGATAAATAAATCTGAAATTGAATCACTCGCACATGCGCACTCCTAGGGTACACTCCCACTTGGTTGCCTTTGGTAAATGGTCATTGAGTATAGGATGCTTTAGTGGTCGTCCTTTTGTCTAAACAAAGATCAAAGTTCCGATTCAGAAAAGTTGCCTCAGAATAGCTGCCTCGGAATAG